TGACAAAATACGTAGAATCCAGCGTTACTCTGAAGGATTGGTTCACCACGTTATAGAAATTACATTATAGTGGCAAGGACATCAGAAATACACCTACCTCAGATGTACTGAAGGATTGGTTCACCACGTCATAATAATTAGATTATAGAGCCAAGGACATCAAAAGCACACCTACCTCAGATGTACTCGGCATACGCCCCTGAAAACCACTTAGAGTGATGGAGATCTCCTCTTAAAAAATATGTGTCTTATTATTATTGTTATCATTATTATCATTATTATTGCTTGATGGGGCAGGGCTATTTGGAGATACGACTAGGCCTATCTTGATTGCACGTGTAAAATTCTGTAAAGTTGTTCATTGAAATACCAAATTGTTGTTGCTGAAAAATTACAAATTCATCCAAAAGTTGCTACCTAAATTCCTTGATATCTTATTCAAACGTTAATCCAAATCTTTACTTTCATTCTTCACAATAATTGCAAACATTCGTCGAGAAAAAAACCTTGAAACTTAGCTGTGATGAATTCCTCGCAAATATGGGCCAAATTTAAGGATACTCTTATGCCTAAAGGAACAACATACATGTTTCATTTGACGTCTTGCCATCTTACAATATCAGATAAGAACCGCAACAGGCGTGAGAAAAGTTCTCAAGTGTTGATAAACATTCAGAAATTTGCAAACACTAAAGTTTTCTGTGAAAACTGTTGACTTTTTTTGTGCTTGAAATGTGCTCTAAAGCCATATTTTGCAAAAAAATTGGGCAATAAGGCAAAAATTGTTCGAGGTTGTTTGGACCACAAAAGGGTGCTCAGAAGTTGCCGTGCACAATCGGGAGAAGCCTAGATACGATTAATCTGTTATGTTCATGTTTAAATATGACATACATAAGAAGGAAATTATGCAGCTCAATCCGTAAATGTCTTAGCGCAGACCGACACTGATGACACTTTTATTGAGTGGTCGGGCGCCATTGGTGTTAAAGGCCACACCAGAGTAATGCAAACTGGTAGTTGCAGTACGGAAGTATGGGGAGACATGATCGCCACACCAGTTTTCACACTCCGTGTAACAATTTGTGTAACCAGAAACTAAGAAGCCACTGTAAAATGAGGTATCACAAATCAGTAGCTGATAAAGGTAGGCGTCGCTCACTCCCACACCGTTCCATAATCCATAAGTAGAAGCATTGTTCCCATAATTCAAACTGGCCGTTATAGACTGGTTGGTTCTTCGCTTGAAATACACTTTAGCCAAAGTTTGATGATCCAAGAACATAATCTCTGTAAACTGAAAAAGGAGACAAAGCCTCGTATTATAAGGTGTGAAATTCCGACCTTTTTTACAGCCTTAGTCCAGGTTTTATGTGCTTAAGTATTTTCTTTAGCTAAGAAGGCACAGTGCAGCAGCCATTTTCAGTTCAGTGAACGAATAGGTACCAGTATATGAAATGCATTATGCGGAGAGAATTGTTTAAAAAATTTTCTTGAATTTAACACAAAAATACTAACAAACCATTATGTACATCGACACACCTATATGTGCGTCATGCCATAAGACAAAAACTGAAATAGAATTTCGAGATCCATACGCATACACACTAGGCGATCCATATTCCTAGAGACAGGCGATTATTCAATCAGCTTACAGAGATGTTGTTGCAGTTGGTCCTATAGCCGACAGTTCCATACGGAATAGAGGCGTTGTATGTGACTTCGGTCCTCGGTTTGACATATTCATCGGTGGTGTAACACATGGTCCATCCTCCATTGTGTGACGTCATGTCGCAGTAGGCCAGGTATGCATTGGAATGGCTTGCTCCATCCGGGTCTAAACAGTACATGCCATCTCCCTGTGAGAGACCTCGCTCCTTAATGTCCAAGCAATTTTTTCCAATAAGGGGGCCTGATTATTAATTGAATAGAATTAATTATTAATCTTTATGTAAGGAAAGAAAAATTTCACTTTCTGATTTTCATGCCAGTACATTTTACACCGATGAGGTGAGAAATTGGGTCCCCGTTTGAAAAATACTTTGATGCGCTTTTAACTGCAAGTTGAGCAGGGGTGAGTGAACATTCAATGCCCCTTCGTCAGAGTGAAACATTGAAATACAATATGCATATATTGTGACACTTACCCTGGATGAAGAAGTATCAGCAATATTTGCTAAAGCATATAGGAAAAAGGCCTATGAAGACGATAATCACAGAGTCTAAACTTTTTCCTAGTCTGCTATCACAGTTTCCCGTGAAAAGGCGACAAATATGTGAAAGCATCCAAATCAACTTGCTCTGAAACCAAATTTGAACCCTTTGTAGGTCATTAGAGGGTAATAACACGAGGCTGGTTTGTGTTCAAATGAATAAAGGGGGTAAGGTTCTAAAGAAACTTTGATGCTGCGTCGGTGGGAGAGTATAGCAGATACCCTATCGCTCTGACGAAGGGCTAACGCTCGAAACGTCAGCTATTTTACTCTTTAATTTACGTTGGTCAATTTACGTTTTCAACTCAGTTGTTAACACTAAATTACCTGATTTGTGTTCAGCTGAGATCGAAAGAGATGGTAATGAAGGGAATTGTTACGAATAAGAGAGAAAAAGGGACAGAAAAGGGGTGAATCTTTTATTAAAATACCTGTTTTGCAGTCTTTTCCGTTGTAAAACCGAGGACACCAACTGCAGTAGTAATCGCCATCTTTGAATTTGGCAACACATTTTCCTTTGTTTATGCAAGGATCGTTGATGCATGGACTCTGTTTCCAAAAACAGGAGAAAGTTGACTTTATCATCCCAGATAAAAATGCGCTTTGACAATAATCAAAACATTACTCATTCTCAAGAACTTTTGGGCCTATTATCACAAGAATAAGAACATTCAAAGGCGGCGTAGTGAACTTAACATACATGTTAAGTTAACCAAGGAATTATTCTTACCATAACTTCATTTGCCTCATTGAAGTTGCCAGCCAATATTACAGCTGTCAATTCAAACTTTTCGCCGAACATTATTCCAAAATCAGCCGTGGGCCACAAGTAAGTCTCCTTCGCAGCCGTGTTGGGTCTCCACACGCAACGCAGTCTCTCCCCCACCCCTCCAACTACTGGACGTGTTGCTTGACGAGGACCAAACAACAACTGTGATCAAGGAGACCAGGCACAAGCAGTTGTGGATAGTCTCCTTGATCGCAGCTGTTGTTTGGTCCCTAAATGAAAGTTTGATTACTAGAGTCTACAACATTCGCAAATAAATCGGCCATGTACAGGTCGTATACTCCTTAATCTACAATGATCAGAACTGTTTCACATACCCATCTTTTATGAAGCCCAGCCAGAAAATTATAATGTATAAAATCGATAGTGTGACTGCCGGTCACACGAAACAATGTCTTTTCAAAATAATTTTCTTGCTCTAATCTCTGAATTTGCTAAAACACTTGAAAAGGTTTATCTTTATATATGATAATTCTAATGTTACTAGAGTGTTTTTCGATTCAACTACACTCACCTTTTTACTAAAATGATGAAACATCGGGTTGTGGATCAATTCATTGGGCATCCTGTGCTTGTCAGAAGGTAGAAGTTCACACAACAGT